GGGCACCTGGGGGGGCGGGGGGCCCGGGCAGGGTTGGCATCTCTGCGTTGACCTTCCCTTGTTGGGAGAGGGGATGGGCTGTTTGGGGTGCTGGGCTGAGGGACTGACCCCCCGCTTGTTCCCGTGTTAAGGTGTGGGGGGGGGAGAGAGGGAGTGGGTTGTCTGACACCCGGACCTGTGGTGGTGACACATCATGTGCCAGGCGGAATCCAAGCGGTTGAAGGATGCCCCTGGGAGATCTCGATAGGCACCAAAGGCCTCAAACTTTTGTAGGCGTGCAAAGCGAAGACATTAGAATTGTTTCTGAAAACTCCTTCAAAGAAACTTGGTTCCAGCTTCCAAACGGCTGAAAACCCCTGTCTGCGCTTGTGCCTGGGCGGTGAGGACAGCAGGGCAGAAGCGCTTCCCCTGCCATCTGGTTTGGAGTCGGTGACTATGATCTACTAGGAATGGAAAGTCACGAAAGAGACTCGGCAAGTGTCTGTTTTTACGTGGTGGCCTAAAGTCCCAGAGAATGACCTAGCACTTAAGAACCAAACTGGGCCAAGTTAAAGGCCAAGTTGACTTGAAAGAACCCTAGGAGTGGGACCAGGCCAGAAGCAAAGCAAGTCCCAAACTGAGTGTATCTGCTCAAAGATACTTATTCTTTTTAAAAGACATTGTGTTTCTGGAGCCAGGCCTGGATCTTTTAGCATCCAGTTGAGCTGGAAGCAGCTCATAGGTTTGTTTTGGTTTTGTTTTTTTTTTTAATTCATGTTTGTACAATCTTCTGGAAATTTTTTTTCAAGAAGGAGTAAAAGGGAGTGTTGGAAACTCACAAACAGGATTAAACCCCCGAGCGCTTAAGGAAAACAGGTTAAGGAAGTTAATCCAGGATGGATATGCAGGAGCCACAGCAGCTGGGTATGTTTGCAGAGAGCGAGCTGATGTCTGTGGGGATGGACACTTTTATCCATCGCATTGACTCCACAGAGGTCATCTACCAGCCACGGCGGAAAAGGGCCAAGCTCATTGGCAAATACCTGATGGGAGACTTACTTGGAGAAGGGTCTTATGGCAAAGTCAAGGAGATGTTGGACTCTGAAACCCTCTGCAGGAGAGCTGTGAAAATACTGAAGAAGAAGAAGCTACGCAGAATTCCCAATGGGGAGGCAAATGTGAAAAAGTGAGTAAATATTTCTGGTAGCTGGGAACTGAGGGGTTAAACTTTGTTGTTATTTTCTAGGTGAAGTTCTGTAGCATTTTAACTAACAATGTGGCTCTCTGCTGTGGAAGTGCTTCCTAAACCGAAGGTATTCAGGGATCTCTTTACCGTTGAACTGCTGCCAGCGCTCTTGTGAAGGTTGGGAAAGGACCTGGTTCCCCAGGGCTGGGGAGGCAGGTCCATCTGTCTGAGTAGGCAGCCCATAACACAGGCCATTTTTTTTTTAAAGTATTGCTCAAAGAATAAAATAGTATTTCTTAAAGAAATTCCTCTTTAAGCTTTCACCTTGAAGAGATAAACTGTGGTGCCGCCGGCTAGGAAAGGTGAGCGGTGGTGTAGTTGAGAGGAGAAACGCACTTTGTGTCGTTGCATCGTGTGTTATTTGTGTACCCATCCAGGGGTGCGTGGTGCTTCAGGGTGACAGTAACAGCTCCCACCCACGTATAGGTGCCTGGAATGTGATCCAGTGGATCGTGTGCCCAACAGGGTAGGAAGTCTTGGTGTTTTCCTTGGTTTCATTTCTGACTGATGCATTTGGGAAGTCATTCAGGACTCTTTTCAGTTGATTTCTGCAGCTGTAAAATGGGGACAAAGGTTGTCAACCTTTTTTATTTCGATGACTCAAGAGCTGTGCTTGGAAGCTTTCAAAGTGCCAGTTACATACTGATTAGTCAGGGCACAAGTAACTAATTAAAATGAACTGTGGGACAAGCCTGGTGTTATGCTCCATCCGGGTCGGGTGGAAGAAACTTTCCCTTTCCTTGGGACTGTGCTCAGCTTGAAGGGCCTCGCAGCCAGCTGTGCTTCCTGCAGCCAGCTGTTTGTCACAGCCCTGTGAGATGGTTGTTTATCTGCTGTGGAGGGGAGCCTTCTGCAGCCAAAACAAACTATTTGCCAGGGTTTATCTTGTAGTGGGAGGGCGAACTTGGGAGATGTTTAGAAGACTCTTGTATTGCGTCTTTGGCTGGGGCGTGCTGAGCGTGGAGCCCTGACCCAGCAGAGTCTTGTTTCTGTTTCTCAGTTTGGTTTGAGTTTCCGAGCTCAGTTGCGAGATATTTCACATCCTGTACTGGCACTTGTGTCAGTGAGCTCTTTAAGTTTGCCGTCTAACCTTCAGTGGCAGACTTAGCTACAGAATAGTCACAAACCCTAATGCCAGGACCTCCCTTTCTCTCCTTTGCTGGCTCAAGTTCAGAATCAGAGTAAACTGTTGGTTAATATGTAATAAAATGTTTTTCTGGCAAAGGCATGAGTGCCCCTTTCCACCCTTGCCCCCTCCTTCAGTTACATCGAGAGCTTCTGCTGAAGAAGGGGGAGATCGTTTCCTCCTTAGTGAAACTTTTAAATTGAAATTTTGTTTTCCCCCGTAGTGAAAAAGGATTTGTCAGATACCGGGAGAGTTTCCTGATATCAGAACCACGGCAATGGTCCCGTGTCCTGGAGTGAACTCTGTAAAGTTTTATTCATGCACGGAACCTGTCTGTGAATGTCTCATTTGGTTTTGTTAAGGTTAGTTATTAATGCAGACTAGTCAAGCACCACTCTGTTTTGCTATGGATGTTTTTCTGGCTCAGCCGCACCCGCTTGAAAACACCAAGGCAGATTTTAGATGTTGTCTTGTAATGAGGGTTTACTTTAGTTCAAGTTCCTATTTTTGTCACCTTGTCCTTTTCTCTTTGTCCACCTATTTGTTTATCTACTTCAGTGATGAATTTTTTTTAAAGCCAAAATGTCACATTTTGGGGTACCCACAGAAATCTGACCTTATAGAAACCCTTCGGCACTTTTGCAACAGGCAGTGAAAGCTGTTTCTGCTCTGAATAAACCTGTTGTGGTGAGATAAGTCATCGAACCTGTAGGGTTTGACTGGTCAGTATGGATGGGGGGAGCAAGCCGTTGCTGTATTTCTAGGTGGCGTTGGGATGTACTCTGCTAACGTTATGTTTGGGGGTTTTTAATGTCACGCTGCTTGGCCAGACTCCATTAAACTTTCTCTTTCTACAGCTGCGTTTGAGCACCTTTGCTGAATGGTTCATATCCAGCAAACTGCTCACATGTAATAGAACAGCAGAAAATGAGATTGTAGACTGAATCGCACCGTTAGGTGTTAGTTTCTTGGAAGCTACTAAGTGCAGTAATGAGTAAACATGTGATTCCTGTGTTAGCGAGTCCTGCTTCCCGCTCCACTTGTGTCCTTATCTGGACGAGGATATCTGCAGCTCCATAGGTGTGAGAGGTGATTGTGATTAGTTGTCCAATCTTTGTAAACATCCCAACTTCAGTTGGTGCCCTTTGAGATTAAAAACCTCTTTGTCCACCACCAGAACGAGACCACCGCTTGGTGCTCCCCGCTGTGCCCCTGTGGAGGGATGACTGAGCAGAAGGCGCTTCCAAAGCATTTGCTCTCATTGCAAAGGAAACGGTCAGGAGTGAGAGTCTTCTGAATCCCTCACAAAGTGCTCTCTCTGCTGAAGAATCACTGCGTGACATCTTAACTGTTAGTTAAACTGTAATTTCTTCATACAGTACTGCGGATGTGTTAAGTGCACTGCCAGAGGGTCTGAGCAGTCAGGGCGTGCGTTCAGGTCTGGTTTAAAAGGACTTCTCTCTTGGAAGTGCCCCTTTGCTATTTCAGTCTCAAAATACCTTGTTGTACAGTTTTTTTCTTAACTGCAAAGTTTCTACTAAAGTGATGTCCAGCACTTCTGACCACACAGGAAAAAGCTACATATGTGATTTGGTTCATTTGACAGAGATGTAATGGAATTATTACAGCGGGCTCATGCCTCAGCCATTATCATGGGATGCCTCAGTATTGCTGCTGCGTGCTGAAGATGAAGCTTGCGTTGATAGTGTGTCATCAAAGAAATTCCCTAGAAAACAGTTCCTAGACTGTTGGCCCTTAGGTAATTACATGAGCAAGTAATACACAGGGAGTAATGACAGCGAGGGAGAGCACAAGAGCAATGAGCCACAGAGGATCGTACAGGTCCCTGCCGCAGGGCTGGGGTTACAACTGGGGGAGCTCTGAGCATTGATGCCATCTTTGTGTTACTCCTTACTAACGGTTGGGACTGCAGCCTCGTCCTGCAGGTGCTGGTTGCCCCAGCCCTGTCTCATGGTGCGGGAAAGAGTTCTGTGGACCTGGAAATTATGACCGAAAAATGTTTGAGACTTATAAAATTGAATGATTCTTCTCTACCTTAAAATACTCCAGTTCTGCCCCTGAAAAATGAGCCCTTAAGGGATCTGTGAATCCTGATGAGGATGTTGAGGGTTTAAACTTAAAAAAGACACATTTCCCTAAGTCAATCTAGGGAATCTGCATTTCTCTTTAGTCACTTTAGAGAAAGGTTGGGGTGGCTTAGGCAACCAGATAGTGCCATGGCTAATTGCTGCTTCCAGTTAATACAAAAAATGACTTTAGATGGATTGCAGAAAAGATTAAAGAAAATTTGGAAGACTGTTTGTCTCCAGCAGCACAAGTTTAATAAAACCGTGTGCTAATAGCCTCATATTTTAATTAAGTGTTTGGGACTTTCTGTGCGTATCCCAAGTGTCTTGTACTGTACTTACCACGCTCAGTGATTACTTAGATTTGAATATATGCTCATTAGAATTCCTCAGAGGTTTAAAATGTGTAGTAGGCATGTACTTTGAGAATTTGCTCCTTGGATCTGCAAATAACAAGTCCTGCACCTCAGAACAGGGGCAGTTCTGCCAAAGGAAGGACTTGTCGCGAGCCGCAGGGGCGTGTGCTTCAGAAGATGGACTAAAACTGACTCATCTGATTTCCTGTCCTTCACTCCCAACCGAAAAGGGACAGGAAACATGGTTCTGTATCTCACAGGCTGCATCCATAGGGGAGGGCGAGGCAGCAGGAGCATGGTGGAGATGCTGTAATGATTGCAATTCTTTTGGGTAATGGCTGGAGAAGAACCGTTTAGGTACTAAAACTTGAAAGATGTAGGTCAGCACTGGATTCATCCACGTGCAATGTTGTCAGCCCCTCCCATGTCAGATGTACGTTCAGATGTGTAAAGCTTAGTTTGAAGGAGGAAATGGTGAAGTGCTCTCTGCTCAGTCTCTTATCTGAAGTATCGCTTGTGCTCACGAAGAGGTGCGGCTTCTTGCGGGGATGGAAATGACAAGCTCCATCCTTGCAAGTGGAGGGCTATTTTTTTAGGTGAAATGCACAGGAAAAGGCTGTTTGCTACGTAGACCTTAAATATGTTAATCTGCTTTGTGGCATATCGGGGATACTAACTTGTAATTACAATTTCCTTTAGCTATACAGGATTACAAAATCGCTCTAAATACATTATGTCCTCGTTCAGTTGCATAAAGACCAAGAGAATGATTGAGTCCTTTGTGGCAGTTAGCAAGACTGGTGTTAGTGGATTCAGGGTACGTGCCAGAACTGACATATGGAGCTGTTCCCTGTGCACGTCTCCCAGCCCTTCGCTGTGGCACCAGCGCTGCGGTGGAGGTGTGCCAGGGCCTCGTGCCGGGGCCTTGTTACCGCGTCCTTTACGCGGAGAGGTTGAGACGGGCCGCGGCTGCATGCTGAGGAGTGAGAGTGAGCTGCTCCTGGGCCGTAGGCTCTCACTGCAGAGCTGCAAACCCTCATTTCTGATGTGGGACCTGACCCAGTAGGTACTATTGAAAAGATTCACCATCCTGTGTCTGCGATAAAATCCTGAAAGCTTAGACCTGCGGAGGAACCTTGTCAACCAATGGAAGAAATGACTCTTTTGGCTGTATTGCTCGCTTTTATTTAAGCAGGAACTGAGGCTTGAAACAAGCTGTAGAACAAGTGCAAAATCTTATGGTGAAGACGTGCTTTTACTAGGATGGTCCAGGAAAGAACGTCTTCTTTCCAGGCTGTCCTTGGCATCTTCCAAAATCATGTAGCACATGGTACAAGTAGGCAGCTTTGCTGTATACAGTTCTGAGCAGCAGCATCACCACCACCCTGTTATTTGCCAAAGCAAGACACCTTGCTGGGGATAAGTCATAATCTGTCAGGATGAGCTTAACAGGTCTGACAGAACCACAGAAACCTTTGAGTTAGGAGATCTTTTCTCTCCTTCCTCCAAGACGGTTATACTTTGAAGCAGGCCCTGTACTCTGGCAGTCTGTCTTGTCATACAATTGAGGGCTTTCTAGTCTGGAAAACTAGGAACAGAATTCCATAATGGAGACTATAATAATGGTGTTGAGTAGGATGGGGATGGAGGGGATTGCCATGCTGCTGAGAGCGCAGCCTGGTCCCCTCGCTGGGGTTCTCCCTTTCCCCCTGTCTTGGGGACAGGGCTGATCTCAAAAGCAACTGTTGTGATTTAAATTTCATGTTGAAATTTAGAGGTAGATGGGAGAAAGGAAGGAAAGTCGCAGCAGCTCATAAGGTATCTTGAAGATCTGAGCAGATTCACTAAGCTAGTATGGGAAAGGCAGGAAGCCACCTTGCCTTGGTGGAGAGGAAAGGCAGCAAACTGTAGGCATGAAATCCCTTTCCCAGGTCTGTCAAATGAAACACTATTGTGCAGGCAAATCGCAAAGAAAGCAATGGGCTGGGGTGGTTTTGTTGTTAATTTTGAAAAAAGTAAATTTAGGCACCTTCTGCTGAGGCGAGCACCTATGTTCACTTACTCAGTGAAGTTTGAAAACTGAAATGGAATCAGAGGTGACTGGTCTGGCTGTCTCTGTTCCTTTTAGAATGCAAGAGTAGCTAAAAATAGAAGTAATCTTTCCTCTGGGAAATGGGCTGCTTGGCCTCTGCTCCAGAGGTGGGTGCACTTCACTGGCATTTTAGATTGGTTCACAAAGTCCTCCTGGAAAAAAATCATTACAGAAATATGAAATATTTATGAGTCCGTTAAAGGTGGAAGGAATTAGTATTTGTGCTCTCAAGCCGTATTACAGGCAATGAGCTGTTGGGATCAGGATTTTAAATGTATTCCTAATATTGGAAGCTTGCTTTGCCTTCACAGCAAAGTAGTTTTATTTAAATAAGTATGTGTGTTCGCTCCCTCTCTTGCTGGCTTGGTCTGAGCACTCAGCCCATCTCCCTTCATTATGCAGAAACTTCTTAGACCTACACTAATGCTGGCTGCAGTTTATATGCTAATTTAATCCACTTCAGCCTTTTGGTCATTACTATAATTAGAGCGGCTGCATCACTTTGCAAATCTGTCTGCCATTAAACGAAACACTCTTCTGAGCTTTGCCTTGTTATCCTAGGTTTCTGTTTAGCTATTGTGACTTTTTTTTTAAAGCCCTATATGATAAAGGAAGAGTGCCTGGCCTAAACCTTGGTAGTGAAGTAATTGATACTACTGCACAGGGATCCTTAAAAGATTTTAAAAACCTGTTTGCATTCC